TATACATCATGGGAATACCCATGCTAACAAAAGGGAGGGACCAAGCCAAAAATGGCTGCAAATAAATGTATTCAAATAAACAAATACATTAACTGTGACCAGCACTATGAACTGAATTGAGGACTTGATGTCCAAAGTGTGTATCATTAGCGGATCGCACGTCCAACTGATAATGCCTGATGAAGGTGTTAACAGAAGACCATGTGCCAGCTCTGCAAATACTGCCTGGAGAGACCTTTGCCACAGAAGCCCAAGAGGCAGATACTGCTCGGGTAGAATGAGCCTTGATACCTAGAGGTAGAGGCGTATCCTGGTGCCGGTAAGGGCAGAGAGAGCCAAAACATGGACCCTAAGTGTGTTATAACCAAACGGAGGATTGGAGGAAGGCCGATGTGGTTCCTATATTCAAAAAGGGTTCAAAATCCTAGCCTGGAAATTATAGACCTGTGAGCTTAATTTCTGTGGCTGGTAAAATATTTGAAAGGTTATTAAGGGATAATATTCAAGAATTCCTTGAGAAGAACATGGTTATCAGCAAAAATCAGCAGGGGTTTATGAAGCACAGGTCATTTCAAACTAACTTGATTGCGTTCTACGAAGAAGTAAGTAGAAGTATAGATCAGGGTGTTGCAGTGGATGTGATCTATTTGGATTTTGCCAAGGCATTTGATACAGTTCCACACAATAGATTCAAATTCAAGGAAATCGGTCTAGATGAAAATGCTTGTTCTTGGGTAGAACATTGGCTTAAAAACAGAGTACAAAGACTTGTCATTAATGGTAAATTTTCAAGCTGGACAGAGGTGGCAAGTGGTGTCCCTCAGGGGTCTGTTCTGGGACCCCTTCTATTTAACATATTTGTAAATGATCTTGAAGACAGCATTGAAAGTCATGTTTCAGTGTTTGCAGATGACACAAAACTTTGTAAAATAATACAATGTGAGCAAGATATTACTTTGCTGCAGAGGGATTTAGATAGACTGGGGGACTGTGCACTCAAATGGTAGATGAAATTTAATGTTGAAAAATGCAAAGTTATGCACTTCGGCATAAAGAATATACAAGCAACGTATACCCTTAATGGAAGCGAATTAGGGATAACAACACACGAAAAGGACTTGGGAATTGTTACAGACAACAAACTATGCAACAATGTGCAATGTCAATCAGCAGTGGCCAAGGCCAGTAAGGTATTGTAATGCATGAAAAAGGGCATTCATTCTCGGGACGAGAATATAATTTTGCCTCTTTATAAATAACTGGTAAGACCACATATTGAATATGCTGTGCAATTTTGGGCACCTGTTCTAAAGAAGGATATTATGGCACTAGAAAAAGTGCAGAGGCGGGCTACAAAATTAATAAAAGGAATGGAACATATCAGCAATGAAGAAAGGTTAACAAATTTAAACCTATTTAGTTTAGAAAAACGTCGCCTGATAACATTATACAAATATATTCGGGGCCAATACAAACCATTGTGTGGAAATGTATTCACAAACCGGACTTTACATAGGACACGAGGCCATGCGTTTAGACTGGAAGAAAGAAGATTTCGTCTAAGGCAAAGGAAAGGTTTTTTTACTGTAAGAACAATCAGGATGTGGAATTCTCTGCCTGAAGAAGTGGTTTTATCAGAGTCCATACAGATGTTCAAACGGCTACTAGATGCATACTTGCAAGAACAGAATATTCAAGGATATAATCTTTCAATGTAGGGTAATAACTGCTTGATCCAAGGATAAATCTTACTGCCATTCTGGGGTCAAGAAGGAATTTTTTTCCTAGCTTGTTGCAAAATTGTGCTTCAAACTTGTTTTTTTTGCCTTCTTTTGGATCAACAGCAAAAAACAAATGTGAGGAAGGCTGAACTTGATGGACGCAAGACTCTTTTCAGCTATGTAACTATGTAACTATGTAACCCCTTATCCAAACCTGCTTGTAGGAAGCTTAGCACTGCAGCCAAGGATGAAGGAATGTTAACAATCTTATTATCACGGGCCCAACTGACAAAGGCCTGACAGATTCTGTAATAGGTAGATGAAGTCGAGACCTTACGGGACGGTAAAATGGTTTTAATTACAGAATCAGTTATACCCTCCTTCAAGAGAGATTCCTGCTCAATCTCCAGGCCCTCAAATGTAGAGCATGGGGCTCTGGATGCCTCAAAGGACCTTGCATCAGGAGGTCTGGCCGGACTGGGAGTTCCCACGGATCCTCCCGACTCATCCATGTCACCATAGGGAACCAAGGTCGACATGGCCAAAATGGGAGAATGGCAATAGTCTCTACCTTGTATCTGTATCTTTCTCAACACAGTATAGATTAGAGGTATCGGAGGGAAGACATAAGTCAGTTTAAAGTCCCAATTCTGAGTCAGAGCATCCTGACCGAGGGCTTTCGGGTCGAAGTACCTGGAGAAGAACACTTCCACCTGTGCGTTCTGGGAGGTGGCCATCAGGTCTATCTCGGGTAAACCAGAATGCCAAAGAGTTTCATATACATCCTTGCTGTAACCAGGTTGGATAGTAGGAATTGCTTGAGGAAGGTCCAAAGCCTTCCTATCTTCTCTTCGTAAAGTGATATCTTGTCCACTTTTGTATTGAACAAGGCTCCCAGGAAGACTCTCTTCTGAGCCGGAATTAAACTGCTCTTCTCTGGATTGATTAGCCAGCCGAACTGATGTAATTCTGAGAGAACCAGGTCTCTTTGATCTCTGGCTTCCTGGGTGTCTGAGGCAACTAATAGAAGGTTGTCTAAATAATGGAACAGGTCAATGTCCCACATCCGCATCCGGGCAATGATCACCACTAAGACCTTTGAAAAAGTTCTCGGTGCTGCACTTAGGCTGAAAGGCAGGGCCAGAAACTGGAAATGGTCTGTTCCACTTTGTGCCATCGGGATGTGGTAGTACGCATCTATGGTGACCAAAAAATCCAGCCTTCTGATGGTAGGAGCAATGGAACGGATGGACTCCATCCTGAAAGGCCTGATGTTGAGCCTTCTGTTGATGGACCTGAGATCCAAAATGGGTCTCCATTTGCCTTTTTTTCAGGACTAGAAACAGAGGAGAATAATGCCCCTTAAAGCACTTGTGTGATGACCCTTTCTCTTAAGAGAGACTCCGCTCTTTTCTTTTTGTCCATAGGGATACGACTTGCCATAAAGAAATTCCTCACAGGTGTTTGCTTGAACTCCAGCCTGTAGCCCTCCAGAATTATGGAGCGTACCCAGGTGTCCTGACTATGTGTCCAGACCTTGCTGAAGAATGACAGTCTGGCTCCAACTACCGGCGGATAGTCAGAATCCCTTCCCTGAGGGACGAAAGGACTGGTTCCTGGTTCTATTAGAGCGGTGGGAAAAACCTTGTCCTCCACACCTTTGGCCTCCATGACTAAATTCTCTACCAGGTCAGTAGCTTCGTGAGTCCCTGAAATATGGGTCTTTAGCAGGACGTCTGTCCGACCATGAAATACCTGGTTTTCTAGTTCTTCTATTTTGTGGCAAAAACACCTTGCGGCTTTCTTTATGGAGTCTTCCAAGGCCTTGCCAAATAAAAGCTCACCCTCAAAGGGGATGGAGCATAGATTAGACTTTGAGGCAGTATCAGCTCCCTAGTAACGTAACCATAAGGCTCTCCTGGCAGCCACCAATAAGACCATGGTTAGAGAGAATATCCTGGTAATGTCTAATGACGCCTCAGTCAGGTACTCCGTTGTGGGTCCTAAATTGTGTCACGGAGATCTTGTCTTTTGACACCTCTTTCCACATCAGAGTCCAGTTCTCTCAGCCAACTCTTTATGGATCTGGACACCGCTGTAAGGGCCACAGCAGGGTGACAGCCAGCTCCTGCAGCAGTATAGATCTTGGATAAATTAATATCCAACTTGCGGTCCATAGGTTCCCTCAATGAAACGGAACTGCCAAGAGGTAACATCACCTTTCTTGCCACTCTTTAGATAGGAGCATCGACCTTCAGTGGGGTTATCCACATCCTAGAGGTCTCTTCCTCTAATGGATAGAGCTTTGCCAGTTTACCCTGGAAGGGAAGACGTTTCTCCGTTTTTTTTCATTCCGACGTCACTATCTCTGTAATGGCTCTATGTAGTGGGAAGGACAGCTTTTGTTTCTGCAGATCAGCAAAATGCTTATCTGATCCCTCCACCGTGTGTGTATCATCAGGAATTTCAAGTGTCTTCCTTCGCCAGAGGGTTACAATACATCTGAATCAGATGAGTTAGAGGAGTCCAGCCTTTGTCTGAGTCTCTTCTCAACCCGGCAGCAGAGATGCCTTGAGTGACCTCCTTTCTAATCCAGGCCAGTGTGTCTGGAGATTGGGCCGATATAATGGAGGAAGAAGTGGCAATCTTCTGGAGACAATCCATACAAAGTTGTTTCCCCTCTACCGCCTTTCCTTCACAGCTGGAACAGGGAGTAGCTTTCTCCCTCCTTTTCCTGGGAGGAGATGATATTATCCGTTCCGTTGATTACTAGAAATCAATTGAAGAATAGACTCAGATATCACAAAGACATGAGAGGAAGTTTAAATAATAAAGTTAACTTTATACATACCTAGAAGGAGCCAAGATGGTGAAGCCATAATGGGCTAAAAAAATAAATAAATAGATAGATAAATTCTAGGACCCCCTAAGGAGTGTTAAGAAGCTATCAAAAAAAAACTTCCAATCACAAAAATAAACTTACCTGTGACAAAGATCTTGAAAGAGTACTGGCACTTTAAGAACAACTTCCAAACACACCAAACTACTTCCACACTGAGGCAAAAATAGGCGCCAAGGCACTTACCCCAAGCCCTCAAGGGCCTTAAATACCTTCACTTTATGTTTTGCATTCATTGAGGGACATTTTCCGTTTTTGCCTATACTTAAAATGGCCGCCGCGATGTACTATTCCCTTAGTACGCGTGATCGGTTTCGGCCTCAAATTTGCGCAATTGTGCATGCGCGAGCGTTCTTATCATGCCGCCAACCTGTTAAGCCTGAATACCGGGTTTAAAACACTCAGTCTGAGAGGAGAAGGCATGGGGCAGCTACCAGGGACCCAGGCAAACACACAGGGGCCGTGGAGAGAGAATGGACTAATGGGGGATGATCCCCAGGTAAGTATATGAATCCTCTGAAGGAGAGGAAGTCCCAGAGATCCAAGGTAAGTAAACTTTTAAGTAAATATTAAAGTGACAGGTGCAGAATAGTATGAAAGCATCACTTAAAGGTATATTCTGTTAAATAAACAAACCTAAAACTGAAAGGAAAAGAAAAAAAAAAAGTGGTACTTATCTTTGTAGGGAGCTCCCAGCTCCCTTCCTAAGGGCTGTAGGACAGGAAAAAGACTGGGGATCCTAGGAAGGGGTCCTCCTTTAAAGGTTTGAGTGTTTTTCCTGTCCTACCGGCTGTAAGGGGTGGAGCTAACCCATGATGTATATGCTGCCACGATTGGCCAGGAAATATATATATACTTGTGCTCGGAATTTAAATACGTAATGGATAGTATCTGTGAGCAAAGTTGGTTGTGGTGTGCCGAAACCAACGTACGAGTGGGCCTGTAAATAAAAGAGGGCCCACCAAGGATAATGTAGTTAAAACAGGGTGTAGGTGGGTGGGGACAATCAGCTGAGCGGCAGCGGTGAGTAGGGGCTGGGAGTTTAAGTAGGGGACTTACTCCTCCCACAAATTCAGGCCTAATGGCCTTTCTACTTGTGCTCGGAATTTAAATACGTAATGGATAGTATCTGTGAGCAAAGTTGGTTGTGGTGTGCCGAAACCAACGTACGAGTGGGCCTGTAAATAAAAGAGGGCAAAAAGATGAATTCGAGAAAATACACACTTTATTGCATTTTACAAGACCAAGTTCCTGAAAGCTTGGCGAAGCTCTTTCTCTGGTTGCGGAATATATGCGTTATACATGGAGGATTTCCATCGCCCGAGCCTTTTGATGATGTGGACCGGTGCGTTTGTGCTAGAGGCTGCAGAGGCGGCTCCTATGCGGAAGGAGTGCCCGGAGAATGCAGCCGGGTTGTGTCCGAGCTTAGATAACAGGGTTCTGACATGTAACATCAATTTTGCCGTGGTAAGCGGGTGCCCTTGTAATGTTAAGAGCGGAGAGTCTGGCAGGTGAGTGTGAAGAGTTGACCGTAGTTGGTCGAGAACTTTCACCGGACACCAGGCATTATCAGTAGGGAAGAGAGGAATTATTGTAGGATGTATTGACCAGTTGGTTTTCGTGGTAGGGATAGAAAGGAGGTAGTGATCCTCTACCTTGGTGAGGTGTGAAGTTTTAAGGCATCGTGTGATATCTCCTTGACAAATCACGGTGAACTCTCTAGGTCTGAGAAAACCGTAGAAAGCGAGATATATGGCAGATTTTATCACCGTATTGGTGTAGCTATCAAATGGGGCTGTGTCAAGGAGATTGCTAAGTGACCTGAAGATAGGCCCGTCTATGGGTAATCTAGTGCTTGCGAGTGGTGGTGAAACCTTTGATATACCTTTCAAGACCTTTTTTATGGGGTATGAAGACAAAAAAGGAGTGCTGTTAGGAAAATTGGTGAGGCTGTGGTGCTGAACCCCGGTGAGGTAAAGTTTAATGGTGTTGTGTGACAGATTAAGGTGTAGGTGGCAAAAAGAGGCAAAAGACACCATGGTTTGGATAGAAAAGTCACCTTGTAGCCCGAATTCTGCAGTGAATTTGTTAAATATGTTAAGTGCCCTATTGTAAGTGATAGCAGTGTTGGGTGATAATGCTTGGTGAGTGAGTGATCTAGCGTGAAGCAAGAGTGTGCTTAATCCAATATTAGTTCGTGAAACCGTGGTGTCCTGGATGGCTGTTGGTGAGCTGCTGGGAGTGCCTGAGAAAATGCCTGGAATCGAGAACGAGAAAGAGCGTCAGCGGCGGTGTTGTGAATACCCGGGATGTGAGAACATACTAAGTGAAACTGATTGGATGCTGCCAGCCAGGTCAACTTGCGAATCAGCCGCATGATGGTCAGGGATGATGAGCGCCCTTTGTTAATGATATCGCAAGCTGCCGAGTTATCTGAGTAGCATTTTACTGCCTTGCCGGACCAGAGATGACCCCAGGTGTGTGCGGCCGCCACAATGGGGTAAATTTCAAATAGGGCTGAGGTCTCCCTGAATCCTGGCAAGGCATCCGTCTCAGTGGGCCAGTGGCCCCTAAACCAGTGGTTCCCGAAAATGGCTGCGAAACCGGTGTTGGCTGCTGCGTCTGTGTGGATGATGGGTGAAGAGGTGGAGAGAGGGGGGATAAACATGGAGATACCATTCCAGTCTTTCAAAAACTTCCCCCACATAGCTAAGTCAGCCTTGGCGTGGGGGTCCAAAGAAACAGTGCCGGAGTCCGGGACTCCGTGGAGCAGGCAAAGAAGTCTGGAAATGAAAGACCTTCCCTGCGGAATGATGCGCATGGCGAAGTTCAGAGATCCAAGAAGGGACTGAAGTTCTCTCCTGGTGCAAACGTCATTCCGCAGGAACGTGTCTATCTCCCCTCTCAATCGTGAAAGTTTGTCGTGTGGAAGGCTGGCTCTGAGTTTGACAGAATCGAGCTCTATGCCTAAAAAGGTCAACTTTGTTGTGGGTCCTATAGTTTTGGCTGGGGACAAAGGGACTCCCAGTGTGGAAAAAAGTGCGGTAGTACTATTGATTGCTGTGGGTGTTGATGACCCTGGCTCTATCAGTAGAAAGTCGTCTAGATAGTGAATAACGGAGTGACACCTGATGACGTTCAGAAGCAGCCAGCATAGTGACTCTGCGAAAATGTCGAAAAGTTTGGGGCTGCTTCGAGAACCAAAAGTGAGTCGTGTTGAGAAGTAATAATACCCTCGCCATTTAACACCATGTAAGTGCCAGAGTGAGGGGTGTATGGGCAGTAATTTAAAGGCGTTAGTGATGTCTATTTTGCTGAGCCAGGGTCGATTACCAGATGTCATGATGGACTGTATGGCATCGTCGATGGTGACGTACTGCAGAGAGAATTCGTCTGCTGGAATGAGTGCGTTTATGCTTGGAACAAAAGAGGAGTGCGGTGCCGATAAATCGATAATGAGACGTTTTTTATTAGAATATTTGTGAATAGCAATACCAATAGGGTTAGTGCGCCAGGAGGAAAACGGTGAAGAGGTGAAAGGACCGATCATGAAACCGTTTGTGGTTTCTGCGGAAATGAGAGTGTCTACAGCGACTGGGTCTAAACGTGCAGACTGGAGATTAGGACATTCTAGTGTACCTGGGGGAATGGCTACTATGCCTGTGTGAAACCCTTGTGAGAAACCTGTGGTGAGAAAATCCACTAAGTGCCTGCTGGGGTGAGACCTTAGATAAAAAAACAGGTTGTCGATATTTATGTCGGTTAGTCATTTGTTTGGTGACAACCTGGCTGGACACATGGTCTTGGTATGTGCCCTGAAACATATGGAGCAGATGTGCAATAATCTACAGGCGCTGAAACTGCAGGAGCCTGCGTTGAAATTATTACACACCTGTGCTTTACCTAAAAAGGAGATGGGCCTACCCAGCTTATCCCGGAGACCACCCGCTGGCTTGTTGTGAGGGGTGAAAGAGGAGTGAGGTGTGAACATGGGGTGAGGGGTGGGAGTGGAGGTGGTGGGATCTGGTTCGACGGGACATAAGTCCGCCATGTGGGATGTAGAATTACAGATGGCACAAGCCGGGGGCCTGAGTCCAGCGAAGTGGCGACAGAAAAGTTCCGTGTCCATCTGACCCCAGTTCATTCTAATGTTGAACTGCTTGAGATGGGTCGCCGCCTTCGCTGAAACTGACTTGTGGTAGTCATAGAAGGAAGAGCCCCCGTACTTGATGCCTAGATCCACTACCTTGTGGAGATAGAGATCTAGCTCTTCTCTCCTATGGGGATACACCGTGCAAATGACGTCGCGGTATATCCCAAAGCTATCACAAACTGTGGGATAGACAATTTTTTATTAAGCCTGGGATCCCTCGTTTTGAGCACAACTGAAATGTCACCATAATTGTATGCCTTGTTCTCGAGTACATCCTGAGAGGCTATGAGTAAAGACACCAGACACACATCCTTCCCGTCTAGGATATCTTTCCTGATAGAATCTGGGACGGAGTGTGCTGGTGACTCGAAAGGTGTGATGGCTGTGCCAGGTGCTGGAGGGGGGAGTATAGAGGGACATGTAGGTATGGCAGGTACAGCCGTGGTAGAGACTGGGACTACGGTGTTAGTACCTGAGGAGGAGATGGCGCTCTCCACCTTAGACAGCCTGCTATTGAGGGTCTGTAGATTGGCCAAGATATCTGCCAGGGTATCCTGGGTGGCCGTGCTGTTTCTTGGTGGTTGTCCTTGAGAGCTAGTTCCCGGCCGAGGCTCGGGGACTTGGTGGGTAAGCAGCCTGTAAAGTTCTGCCTTTCTAGCTGTGGCCGGAAAGGGGATTCCCCTGAGCCTAAGCTCGGCCGTGATTTTGGGAATAGTCCATGCTCTCAAGGACGTGGGGGTTGAAAGAGTAAGTGATTCGCCTGGAGACACGGGTCTGATTGGCGTGAATGGTGTTTCTTCTATCGGTTCTTCGGTTGGAATTGGTTCTTGGGACATTCTAAAAAGGAATGATTATGTGAAAGATATATTAGAAGGGGAGTGAGGTAAGAAGGGGGTATGGGGAGTGGTGTGTCTGGAAGAACTGGACTTTAATGCTAGATGCCGAGGCGAAAAACGTAACTATTGAATGACTGGATAGGTGAGGCCCTGCTAATGCCAAGTGGCGGTGAGAGGCTCTACCTATGATTTGGCTTATGACGTAGGTGCCACAGACGTGGTGGCGGGATGTTGGCCTCTCGGTGACGATAAGAGAAATCAAAACGTGTGGCCGTGACAGGTGAGGCCCTAACTAGAGCCCTGTAGTAAGGCATGCGAGGCTTATAACTATGATTTGGGCGTGGGGCCGTACCTCCGTGTTGAGGTGGGGTGGGGGTGGTAGGCCTCGCGGGATCAGATTTCCTGATAGGGTGGGCTAAGGCATTAGCCTGTGCCGTATAGCCAGTTCGATTGTATGCTTAAGGGTAAAGTTAGAGGACTGGAGTGGTGTGCGGATACTAACCTTGACTGGTCGCAAATGGTATCTGGAGCCTCCTGATAAGTGTAGAGAGTCTTGTCTTAATGTTGTCTTTGAGGAAGAATCCTGGGGGTTTAAGACAGATGTTGATGTGTTTATACGTATCGTGATGTCGTATGAATAGTATTGGGAGAAGGTTTGTTAGGGGCACCACGTGAGATCCTGCATTGAGGGATCTGGGAGGTTAAGGTGTAGGAATGGGATGATTTTGGATATGAGTGAGAAGGCAGAATGAGGCCTTGGGGTAGCGAATGGACGTACTTGAGTAAGGACGTAAGTACCTGAAGGTATGGCTGAGTACCGGGTCAGGTTTTTGGTGTCTTCTGAGCCTGATGGCCGTATGACCGAAAGTCTGTGTAGACAAGTAGTAAAGAGATAACGTATCCTGGGCGTAAGCCTGAGGGAAGGTAGTAATGGAGTTGAGACCGCGTGAGGTCTAGTATTGAAAAGAGAGTGAACTATACCTTGGTTTTAAGTACAGAGATTGTTTAATCGTGGCAGGTTAACTGCGTAGAAACGGTGGAAGTTTAGATAAATACAGGATCTAAGGGTTTAACCAAGACAAATTCCATATTTAGCAATAGATGTGAAGATAATTGATAAAACCTGATAACTCAAGGTGATAATAAACCATACCTGTTCCTGTAATAAAAGGACCTTGAAATAACAACTTTATGCAGAAAAGCAAGAGACCAATGCAATCTGTAAAAGCCAAAATGTGACAGCGTGATTTATGTGCAAGGAATAGTACGGATTATGTGTAATGGGTATAACTTGTAAATAGTGTTTAACTGACTTATCTGAGTGTTATTTGGAAAGAATGGTATAGCTTGTATATAGACACGTATGAAGTTATGAACCATGGTAAAACATTATGTTTATTACAGAAAAATACTATAAATGGTTTAACAAGGTAGGAAAACACAGGGCTGGTAGTTTACCGGATAATGTAACCAAAAAATGAAGGAATAAATAATAGTAGGATAGTGTGATTAGAACTTATGCATGCTTAGCTTAAAAGAATAGAAATAACCGAATGTAAATTAGTAAGATGGTGTTCGTGAATTTTACCATACGAGTAGTTTGGTGCTGAAATGACCGAACAGAAAAAGTGAATACAGATAATAATGAGCTTAAACATGAAATATATATTTGGTTGTTTCCGTACGAAAATGCTTTAAATGATAGCGAAATGAGCCGAACGTTCGTGCGTTTTTTGGCGCGAATGGAGATATTAACGAAAAGCGTGTATTCGTGAAAATGCGAAAGAGGGAGCCTACCCCTACGTTTTTAGGCCCGAACGGCAGGGAAATAGCGAACGCTAATTCCCACGCCTTACTCACGTGAACGCGCCGGTCTCGTGACCGGAAGTCGGGTACCTCGACCGGAGAGAAACGGAGTGGAAGGACCTCGGACGGACGGAGGATTGCACAGGGCGTCTGGCTGCTGGAAACAGGTACAGTTCTGGCGGGAAGCTGGACCGGAAGTGCTGGTTGCTAAGGACAATCAGCTGAGCGGCAGCGGTGTGTAGGGGCTGGGAGTTTAAGTAGGGGACTTACTCCTCCCACAAATTCAGGCCTAATGGCCTTTCTACATGCGAGCGCTCAGGCAGTCCCCCTGCAGGCACTGCATAAGCTGGCTATTCTGGCCATCCGATTACCGTGCAATCACATGGCCAGGGAGGGCCGGATCGGGCATAAGGGGTCTGCCTGAACTCCCAGGCAGTCCCCAGGATCCTGGATCCTAGAACAGAATAAAGCCACAGGTTTCATTGGAAAAGGAGGAGTTGGACTATGAACACAAACAAATAAGAAGGAATTGCAAACTGTATATTGTCTCTTGTGGCTGGCATGGAGCCTTTATATGGAAAGTTGACTGGAAATACAGCGCCATTGACTGACTCAAAGTTATCCTGACTCAAAGTGTGGAAGATGGATGCCACGGAGTACTCTCCAGATTTATTTTTTGGGGCAGACGGCCTTCTATCCCTTGCCAGGATTACAGGGAAATTCATTTTTGCACTTGTGAAGTTGAAGTTAATAGTCTGAGTATACTGGTACCACACTGGCATGAACGAAGAGTGACATAACCCAGCTACGTGTTCTGGTTTGGAAGCTAAGGGTGCAGAGAGTAATAGTTGTCAGAGAAGATATGAGGGGCACACGCCCAAAACGAAATGTGTCTCAGGATGGAAAGTCTGGTTTGCAAAGGTGGGATATCCAGCCGCTGAATGAGACAGAAAGCAACTAGATAATGTGAACTTCTAGTATGGATGGTAACAGAATGTTTAATAGAATTGTATGAGACCTCCTTATTTAGCCTTTGCAGATAATAAACCTTCCCTTCTGATTTCCAAAGCTCCTTCTAAATGTGCTGGGGAGAGTACTGGTAATTGAGGTGTTTATGTGGCCCAGTACCTGCGTAGGAGGAAGCTGCCAGATTTTAGTTGCAGTACGATGCGAGTGCAGGCATCTCGCTGGCAGAAAAAAATTAGAGTCCATGGCTCCGATATATGTGTAAGAAATGGTTCAGTGATACCCTTCAAGAACATGTTGAGAAGCTATTTTGATATCTTCAGGTATGGTAGAGTCTGCTGAGAATGTAGCATACCCCCTCACTGGTCACATGTATGGCAGGGAGAAGAGAATAAAAATAGAAAAAATAATCGTATCATGGGTATCCACGATAAGCAAAAAACGCTCACCCCCCACAGAACACAGCCTTTATCCTACCACACAGAGCATCTTACACGCACATACACTGCATGCTTGGGGGTGGGCCCTGTGGCCGTACTTGAGTGTCTAAAGGGCCCAAAAATTTCTGATTGGGGGTATGATGACCTGTCAAAATGTTTTAGCATGGTTTAACGCTGCTTGTTGTCTTCTTGAGCTGTGCAAGCTGGATGTCAATTTTGTGAAAGCCAATATATCAACAAGCAAATTGTCATCAAAAAAGGCTGTTTCAAGTGCACAGGTTGTGTGACGTGTTGACCGGTCCATCATTTGCTCATCCACACTCAGGCAAAAGATTCTATATTCAACACCGTATTACATGTCTAACTTACTTCTTACTTCCAGATTACTTCTAAAACGTGAGACATTTTGGATAAAACCTCTGAATACCTTACATCCTAAGGGACTTAATGAATATGTTTCTTTCAATGCATTTCTTATTTCTCATTAAGCTATATACATTTAATTAATATGATTATGTTTGTAATTATCATATATTTCTCATGCCTTTGTTTAGTATTGCTCATATTTAAAGTTTGAGCCTTAAATTTAATTTAGACAGTTACTATGTAATTGTCCTATTTATAGTTAAATCCCCCTCTCATAATATTGTAAAGCGCTACGGAATCTGTTGGCGCTATATAAATCGCAATAATAATAATCTGTTTATTTTGCCTCCTATAGATTCTTCTTTGCAGTACCTTTGTCGAATTTTGATACGTTTAACATTTGAGTATGGTATATATATATTTAGTTTTTGCTTCTCCCTTTAAGCTCATTTATTTGGGGAATTTGTATTTATTGCTATGGCCAGGGGCGTACCTAGAGCATTTGGCATCCGGGGCAGATCCTGTGCTTGGCACCCCCTAGCCCTCCCCCCGAAAAAAAAAACCTGTAAAAAATGTTAAAGTTTGTAAACGTTGCAAAACTGCTGTCAGCCCCTCCTACAAAACCCTTGTCCTGCCCCGCCATTTCCTACAAAACCCCTGTCCTGCCCCCTTCTACAAATCCTGTACTGCCCTGTCTACAAAACCCCCGCAACCCCCTTCCACAAATCCCCTGCTAATCCCCCCTTATAAAGACTCCTTTCCCAATACAAAACCCCTGTCCCCTTCTACAAAATCCCTGCAGCCCCACACACACATTTACAGGCAGACAGTCACATGCTCAGTTACAGACAGACAGTCACACACTCAGTTATAGGCAGACAGTCACACACAGTTACAGGCAGACAGTCACACGCACACAGTCACACATGCAGTCACAGACAGTCATGCACACAGTTACAGGCAGTCACATATACATTGACACACAAACATGACAGCAGCAGACAGTCACACATGGTTACAGGCAACATCAAACAGTCACAGGCAGACAGTCACACGTACATAGTCACATGCAGTCACACACACAGTTATAGGCAGACAGTTACACACACAGTCAGTTACAGGTAGTCACAGACAGTCATAGTCAGAAAGTCACGCACACAGTTACAGACAGTCACATATACAGTCACTCACACACACAGTCACAGGCAGAGAGTTACACACACACACACACACACATACAGGCAGACACACAGACACACACACACAGTTACAGGCACACAGTCACATGCAGACAGTCACACATACAGTCACAGACAGTCATGCACACAGTTACAGGCAGACAGTCACATATACATTGACACACACACACGACAGCAGCAGACAGTCACATGCACACAGTCACAGGCAGATATTCACACACGGTTACAGGCAACATCAAACAGTCACAGGCAGACAGTCAGGCAGACAATTACACACACAGTCAGTTACAGGTAGTCATGCACAGTCATAGCCAGACAGTCACGCACACAGTTACAGACAGACAGTCACATTTATAGTCACTCAAGTCACAGGCAGAGAGTTACACACACACACACACATTTACAGACAGACACACACACACACAGTTACAGGCAGACAGTCACACACACACACACACACACACACACACATAAACACACACAAAGTTACAGGCAGACAGTTACACACACAGTTACAGGCAGACAGTCTCACACACACACACATACACACACACACACACAGTTACAGGCAGACAGTTACACACACACACACATACACACACACACACACACACACACACAGTTACAGGCAGACAGTTACACACAGACAGTCTCACACACACATACACACACAATTACAGGCAGACAGTTACACATAGACAGTCTCACACACACACATACACAGACACACAGTCACACAGTCACAAACACAGACACACACTCTTACTTACAGACAGTGGGCTGTCCATCTTGCTGCACCTCCTAACAGCAGCGGGTAAGGGCCATATTAAACCCCGCCCCTGCTGCCGGTTTGGCTACGTCCCCGATTTTGCTTAGCTCTGCCCCCACTTTTCCTCCGTGCAGCCAGTTCAGCTGCTTCTTGCGTATGTGAGCTGTTCTCACAGCTTCTCCTAACTACCATGGGGCACTGTGCGGCCATACAGGTCACACATCCTCCTCCAGCACCCAGACCAGGGTCATGGCACCGTCCACCCAGTGGCACCCGGGGCAGACCGCCCCCCATTAGTACGCCACTGGCTATGGCATAATATTATTTTGATTGATGATATTGATACTCGTCACCTTGAGATTTTGTACACCTATATATATTTGTATGGTATATCACTATAATTATTTAAAAAATACGTATATGCACTTAAGAGGCATTTAACGTCAGTATCCACATATATATTTATTTGACATTTACTCCAGGGGATCATTTTTCATTTTTTGTATTTGTCTCAGTTTAGGACGTATTTTGCCCACTAGGTATGCGAGCTATGACCATTTTATTATTTTTTATCCATGGATACTCTTTTTCCAAAAGTATACTGCATTGTTATATAGCATTCATATTCTGCTTATGTTTTTTTGCTCTAGCAACTAGTGTTTGCTATTTACTCCAGGGGATTAAACTCCTTAGGTTTTCTTTAGTTAGGATGCAATTTGTTCGCTATGTACGCATACCACGACTATTTTTAAACTCACTGGCATTTTATTTATTTATTTTTATTTTATTCTATTTTTTTTGTGCAAAGTATATAGGAATCACATGTTTGTAGCGGCAGTATACTCCATTATGAAGTCAACCCATATAGTTATGTGTGTACCTTCTTATCCTTAGTGCTGTTATAATTCACAGCATTGTTATTTGTTATTTTCATGCCTAGTTTATTTTTGTTGGGTGGGTACATAGCGTTCATATGCTTCCTATATTTTTCTGTTCTAAATTCCAAAACATAGCTCCGTTTGTAGTATCATGTTTATAACTATATAAATTACTATGAAATTTATATAGTGATCATCATATTAAGATTTGCAGATATATCCTGTATTTTCCCTGTACTATTTTGCCACCTTTAGCATGCACATTTTGCACTTTTAGATCACTGCTTTTTCTCACTAGTTGTTTTGCACATTTTCTGCACTGAACACACACTTATGCACTGTATTTAGATGTGTCTCTCTGGTACATGGTTTTATTCCAATTAGATCTTTGCTTATTATCCTCTAACCGTGAGGACCTTCCATCTTGATGCCCGTCATTACGTGTTGACGTCATGGAGGCGGTCCTTGAATCAGATTGGTAAGTGCACTGATATTGTATGTGTGTATATATATTCACTGTTTTGGTTGATACAATAACCTTGAAAAAGACCCGCAGGGGTCAAAACGTTGGTTGGTTTGTTCGCTTTATGCACATTATTTAAATAAACTGGAATATTTTTTTCACCAAGTCCTGTGAGTGCATCCTGGATTGTTTTCTGTTTACATATTGGATGCACTGTGGATGGCACCCAGGCAGATATATTGATAATACGGATAAGGAGAGTGCCAAGCTATCTACTTTGTGTATGTATATATATATTATATAGAAATTTCAAGTGATGGTCTTTCCTCAGGACAGCATAAAAAAAACAAAAAAAAACTTTTTATGCTGTCCTGAGGAAAGTCCCGATCGGGGACTGAAACGTTGACTATTGGCATCTACCTTTTATCTTTGATGTGATAAATAAAGGTTATATTTTAAACGGAGACTGTGAGTGCGGACCATCACTTGAAATTTCTGCATATGGATGACCTGGATCCTGCACCCAGCATGTAAACAAATTGAACTTTAAGCCTGTAGTGCAAGGAGCTTTGGGAGATATATATATATATATATATATACATATATATATATATATATATATATATATATATATATATATATATATATATATATATATACACACACACACTACAGCTCCTTGATAAATACACAATGCAAACCCAATACACATACACTCACACTGCAGCCCCTAGATACACATGCACACACTTTGTGTGCCTTCTTAGAGGGTGTGTGCTGCAATCTCAAAAGCTCCTATACACGAGCATGTGCACACTACAGCCCCTAGCTACACATAGTACACCATAAACAGACTCCTCTACACACACAATTCACCACAGCTCCTTCTATACACCACATGACTGCAGACCCACGAACCTCCCGTTGCCCAATAAACACACAACACCTGTATAGTGGATAAGGGCAACGGCCACAGCTTTATTGAACATATTTGACCAGCATTAAAACCAACTGTCAGCTGATGGGGTGATTCATCCATCAGACAGGTCTCACATCCTTTTACCAGAGTCCAAAGCAGCCTGCCTTCCGCCTTCAGCCCAAGCATGCTGTGACTCCCCAATCCGACTTGTCCCTTGCCTTCCCATGCGCTGGCCAGGTATTCCGCTGTGACAAAACAAAAACAGAGACAACCAGACACCAAGAAAAAAACACCACCAACACCGCCACTTAACTACTAACCACAACCATTATAGGGAGGGCGGGTGGGAAAGCTCCTTTTAGATCTCTTCCTACCTACTGAGTGACCAGGGCCCACCCCCAGATTCCCTTATGTACTAGGTCCCCTATTGCTACATATGTATCCCTTTATGTCCATCCCCCCTCCCTGGGCAGCAGTCATGTCTTTCCCTTCCTTATTCAGCCCAGGGAAACCTTGACTGCAGACCCACGAACCTCCCGTTGCCCAATAAACACACAACACCTGTATAGTGGATAAGGGCAACGGTCACAGCTTTATTGAACATATTTGACCAGCATTAAAACCAACTGTCAGCTGATGGGGTGATTCATCCATCAGACAGGTCTCACATCCTTTTACCAGAGTCCAAAGCAGCCTGCCTTCCGCCTTCAGCCCAAGCATGCTGTGACTCCCCAATCCGACTTGTCCCTTGCCTTCCCATGCGCTGGCCAGGTATTCCGCCACCGCGATGCCGGCCTCCTACGCCCTCCCCCGGCATCGCGCCCCCCGCCGCCAGCGCCTTCTCAATCCCCCCTTGCAGTCCCATGTTGAAAATGTCCAATCCAATCAAGCTTAAGTGCACCCCATCGGACCGCATCAGCGCGCTGTTATCCCCTTCCAACTCTACATGCCGGACCACAATGCCCCCAAGCTGCCGAACAAACCTCGACACCACCACATTCAACTTACGCCTGCTGCGCTCCAGCCCCTTTGCATAAGGTAACTGCAGCCAGCAGGTCCTCGGGACCACCTCCGACCACACCAACGTGACATCCCGAAACAATGCCATGCACCGGGCAAGATCCTCCTTCATGTCGTGCATGAGATCCACTGTCCGGACCCGCCCCAGGTCATTCCCCCCTGCATGAGTGACCAAGATCACCGAACTAGGAACCAACCTGCTCATAAAATGGCACTCCGGGTAAACCTGGCTCCACGACAACCCGCGAATGCCCCTCCAGCGGACCCGTGCTTGGTCGTACGAACACCCCAAGTTGCGGCCATATGGGCGCTCCTCCGCCCGCCTCGCTGCCCAATAGATTTAGGAATGCCCTAGTATCCATACATAACGAGGGCGAGAACCTAGAATTGAACAAACAGAAAACTAAACGGGAAGAAAACTGTTACTCACCCTGAAAATTCACCCTATAAGAGGTGCGGCCGCACATACAACTGAAATCTTCCTGAACGCCACCGCCCCAACTCCTGCACCGCTGACGGTGAAAATCCCATCTCACTAGCTTGTGTAGCCGCCCCAATCCGAAAAGAATGGGCCGAGTAACCTTGCGGGCTCCTCCCGCTCGCCACCAGGGATTCACGCAAAATCTTGCTAAATTGATAGCGCGTCATAGGAGACCCGTCCTGATGCACCAGCAGCGCACCCCCGCCCGTAGGGCGGACCTGCATAAATCTCCGAAACAGGTGCACTGGGCAGTACTCCCCTCCTGCTGCATCAATACGTACCCACGCTCCTTCCCCGCGTTGATCCGTCTTGGACTTACGGATCCGAATGTCCAGCCCTTGAACCGCCCACCGCACATCCGACACCAACAGCGGTGGCGCCACCCGACGACTGGCGGCCACCACCTCCCCGACCCGCAACGCCCCAAAAAAGCACAAAGAAAAAGCGACCCCGAACAACAACGCCTCGTACTCCGCACTACACACCCGCCGCAGCGCCGCAAGGAGCTCCCAC